AAGTCTAATCTTAACGTTTTCCATCAATTTTTAAAAATCCAGTATCAAAATCAAAAGTAAGCATCCTTTCTTTAGCTGGCCCATACCTTCAGTCAGTCACTCACTCACAATCTAGGGCAAATTTAATAAACTGATACAGTCTGTTCCAAGGACATTGCGTACACAAAGTAGTTGACTGTTGACTGGTCCTTGCAAATGCCTAGCACATCCATGCAACAACATTGTTTTCTGAGATGACTATATTTTTAGCATATATACCCATTGCAGGCTTTACAAATGTTACTATAGAACTATGGCTATAGCAACACATATTTAAAGAACTGTAGCTGACAGGATGAATCAGTAAGATTAGTACTAAACAATTTTGATGAAATTTCCCAAACATGGAATTAAACTAGAAGGATACACTGGCCTGGAGAATCCATGAACAAATGCTTCATCTTGAACTACATCACTCAAGTATTTAGGAAAAAAAAAAAAAAAAGAACAGGAACTGTAAAGTCAGTGTTCCAAACTAGTAATTTTAAAGAAAGTACATTTTCAAATTGGTTATTGATGATTCTAATAAACCTATAGCTTTAACATACAACTCTGAAATCAACTGACTCTTTGCAAGACCTTTTCCAGTGCTGAATAAATATCTGATGGTAACACATCTAAATACCTGTATAAGAGATTGCCATATACAGTTTGCAATTCTTTGCTCCAAGTACATTTAGACAAAATCATGAAGAGTAGAGATATCGAAACCTTTTGCAAGCTTCATGAAGGTGATTTTCTGTTTCCTACCATGGTATTTGCAATTCTAACCCATATTCCTTGGAAACAGAGAATACCTATCACGATTTCACTTTCCAAGGAAAAGCTATTTTCAATTGTGTCAATCCTAAAGCTTCAGTTCCCATAATGCATACCTGTTTCTCAACTGGGAAAAAAAAAGTATTTCCAGTGTCTCATAAAAGCAGCAACTGAGGATAGAAGGTACCTGAAAATTAAACACCTTAGAACTCAGAAATTAAAAAAAAATAAAAATCTAAGAGCAGGTTTGTGATAAAACGTAACAGTACCTCAATGTACAAAATGCTAATTTCAGCAATATTTCTAAATAACAAAAATAAATAGATTCACACAGTCAAACCTCTTCTATAACCATGCATATATAATATGAGATTAGGTTGTCAACCAAGTATGACTACACCAAACTGTTGTTTAATTTAAACTGAAGATGAAAATGGAATCAGCTGTTACATATTCAATTACTTCAACTCCATTATTATTTCTTTGCTGAAATATCTGCTTGACAAATATATGTTGCAAAGTTTTGTGCACACACTATATGGAATTCACTGCAATTCAATACAAACACAGTAAATTAATGAGGCCATGGTTCAACAACACAGCAAGGCCAGCTTTAGGCTGTTAGTACTAGATCAAGGAAGAGAAAACTAGAGCTGTATGATGCAAAGCGCTGCTCATGTATGAATTCACCATTAGTCAATTCAAATTCTTTTGAGAGATTAACTTCATACCAGCAGATATTACAGCAAATCAGGTATTGTCTGTGCTCCTGCAGCCAAAGTCAACATAAAGTCATTATGAGAGCATAAAGTTAGCCTATATACTCTAGCATGCCCTGAACAGTTCAACAGAAATGTGACCATGTGCCCATGACTGAGCCAGGTCAAACTGCTATTTGATGGTAGCACACAGAATCTGTCTTGCAATTGGAAAATCACGACTGATAACATTAAAATTAGTTCTTATACCTGCAGGATTTTTTCATAATAGATAGCATAATTTGCTGTGATTTTTTTATGCCTGAAACTTGCTTATCCCCAAGCCAATAACTTACACATTTTTCTCTCTTATTTTTTGAGTTCAGGTTTCATTCGTGAACTGCTACAACTTTACATTCTTATTAGAATGCTGATGCTGTGTGAAACAGGTAAGAAGTGACATTATCATCAATTACAGGAAGTCCATGTACACACACAATTTCAGGAAGAACATTTAGCTATAAATGAAAGGGCTACAAACCAGCACTTTCTTTCCTTCAGGAGAAGATAAAACTATGGGTGAGCATATGAACTTTTAGTTTCTCATACAGAAACATCATTGCTATCACTTACTACTTAAATAGTGAGCAATAAAGCCCTGAAAGAAAGAAGGAAAGAAAGAATAAAGAAGAATCATCAAAGTAAAAATGAAAAATAAAAAAATACACAAACCAGGAAAATTATTTTATTCATTCACCATTGAAGTAATTGCTTGCATATTACTATCAGAATAAACTCAAAGAACATAATTCATCATACTTTCTCCTAAGTGATAATGAAGCAGGTCATCAGAAATCCATACGGGAGGTATATTCATAAGCACGATAACCACAAATGCTGACATGTCCCAGAGTTTCAAGCCATTTGAAATGAGTAAACTGTTTCAGAAACTATATTAAGCTATTATACCACTATCATTTCAACATCTGTTTTTAACCCCTTTTAGTAACACTTATATAATTTGATTTATGGTCCTAGACTTACATCCTTGGATCCAAGCCTGCTCTTAGTAACTGGTGCAATATGATTAAATCAGCAGAGAAGTAAAATACGACCCTTTGCTCATTATTTGTATTGTCAGGAACATGCTACCTAGATAAAATTAACAAAGACCAAGAACATCTGATCCACAAACAAGGATCACATTCAAAGCACAGTTTCAGGTGGGTAAATGCTTTGAGGAAGAAGGAAAAGGACTCTACCAAACAGCTCCCTAAGGTCACCAGGACTCTGGAATAGAGAGAACTACTGGATGAAGAGGCATATATATGCTGTCTCCCTGTGAAGTGACTAGGACACTTACCTGTTAGAACAGCTAAGTTCCAGTAACCACTTCAAGGAATACTTAAGTATCTTTTAAGAAGTGGAATACCACCAATGAAGGACAGAAAGAACAACTCACCCCCAAATATCCTCCTGGGCTTTTTTTTGGCTTTCAAGGACTAATAAAGTAGACAGAAGACTACCACAAATTGCCATCACAGTTGGAATAGACACACTGCATAGACACACTCTGGTCCCAGTTTCTAAATCAGCCGAATAATTTCTATTTTCTTCATTCCCAGTTCAGTTTATATTTTCAATTCCACATGATTCACCTTCAAAACAGCAAGTTCCTTCCTGCCATTCATCCTGCCCTTACAGCACTACTTGCCCTTCCAGGATAATATAAACCATATTAATTTCCCCCATTTTTGAGGTCATGACAAATATCCTTTACCTGCTTCCAAAGCCAAATTAAAATATAATCTCACCCCAGTGTCTACTTTAACCAGTATTTCTTCCAATACATCTTATAATTAATTTACTTCATTTATAACTTTCTGCTCCCATACTCAGAAGCGTCTTCCTTTCCAGATAAGTATATTGTCCATTATTTGCACTGTAGTACATGATATTTATATAAATTCTATATTCAGTTTTAAGTAAAATAGCTATTTTCCCCAAAAGAGCCAAGTTTTTATGAACTGGGATAGTGCCTTTGCATACGAAATTGCAAGCTGTTTTTTAATGGTTTTTGAAATAAAACCACTTGATAATTAGTATTTTGTACAGGACTAAGTCTTGCTCTTTCTTGTCTGTTTTACTAAAGCTAATATTAAAATACAAAAATCAAACAACTGAAAACAACTGAACAATTTAAATTAATTTTTCACCTTTACAAGTTTCTAACCCATCAGAAACTCTTTCATGCAACTAATATTTCAACTTAAATCTCAAAAATCTGTTGTTTAACACAGTTCTGTATTTTGAATCACGTGAAATCAAATCTACAAACTACATAATTCACAAAGTATGATATCTAAATATAATTATGTATGAAAGATACAATCTTGCATTTTTCATGAGAACCTAGGTGTATTTGAAATTTTACTGTACAGCTATAGTTAATTACATTCAGTGGTTCGTTTTCACCATAAAGGATATTCCACACCTTATAATGACTGGTTGGTGACCAGGTTCTTTTTCTAATGAGCTGGCTGTAACCTCCACAAAAAGTGGTGATAAGTGAAGGAGAAGTATAGCCAGGTTTCTTGGCTCAAAGGAGCTTGAAAGAATTGCCCTTTATATCACAGATGACACAGTATCTACTGAGAAAAGGGGAGAAATAAAACCAGGAGCTGATTCCCAATCAACCATTAATCTCACGTCCTCCTTAAGTAAAGCCAAAGAAGTCTTTGTTTAGAATCAGTGACAGAGGAGAAAAAACATAATTGTTCAAAAACTGTGCAAATGAGAATTCTTTAGAAAAGGTGGAGAAACACAAAAAGAAGAGGATGCAATGGAAGCAAAGCAGTCTGTCTTAATGAAAAGTCTGGGAGCAAGGCAGTAGTTGCAAAATTATCTTGGAAGTAAGAAGTAGCAACAATTTGTAAAAGCCAACAGTTGTTTGTATAAGAACCATTGGAAATTTGAGAAGAAACAGGAAGAAACAAAGAGAATTCCGAAAGAAAACACTACATCAAGGATGGTGAGAGCAAGTAACTCCGTTTCTTTAATTTCAGCCATTTAGGATTTTTCTGAAACACGTGAAACATTGTAGCACAGTATTTTACATATTCGTTGCATTTTTATGTTTACATACTGCAAACATAATAAATATATATTTGCATGTGTATCACTAATTAGGAATCACTGCATAAAGAGCTTTATATATGTGTGTGTGTGTATATATATATACACACATATAATATTATTTTAATTTTTTTGTTGATGCCAGTTCTGTGGATCGTACCTGCAGAACTAATAGCCACTTCCATGGGAGAATGTAAACACTCATAACAGGACACAGAAGATCATTCCTCAAGAATCAAGTGCCATATCTGATGAAACTAGGAATTTCTGCTACGCTGTTGTATTTTAGTTACCATCTTTTCTGTTACTATCTCCTCATATAATTCTGAACAAAGAGAGGTTCAATAAAACAGTTACCATTTCTCTTACCGGAGTGAGTGCTCCTTCTGCTTGAGCTTCCATAGGACTTGTAGGGGTGGCTGCAAGAAGCTGTCCAGCAGCTCCGGACAGAAGTTCCAGTTTATCTGTAAGCTGTTCAGAAGCAGCAGGATGACATTCCATGGCTAGAACAAACTCCACCCCTGAGGTTTGGTTCTTGGCATGGACACTGTTTCCTGCCCAACCACCCTGTCTGGGCTGCTCTTCTGGAGGGGACTCCTCTAGAACCTGTAGTACCTCCGGCTCTTCATCTGAGGGACTTCCAGTCGTTTTGTGCCCTAAAACCTCTTTTGTCCTGAAGTCCTGCAAGTCCCGTTCCTTATCTATTATCACCCATTCCTTAGAATCAACCTCCTGCCTGCAGGAGTTTAAGTTGACAGCTACAAATCCATTGCTAATAACACCATCAACATGTTCTGGAGAACTAGCTGACACAGGCTTTGAAGCGTCTGGAAGATATTCTTCATCATAATGCCAAACATGGTCCATGCGGGCAGTCTTGGAATGGGTGTTTTCTGAGAAAGAGGAGGAACAGCAGCAACAGGAGTCTCTGCTGCAGCATTCAAGTCTTTCTGCATCTTCTCCAAACTTAAGAAAAGAAGTTAATATCTGAATTAGTTAAGAATTACTTAAATAATATAAGCTACATTTGAGTATTTTCAGTAGAGGAAAACTATATATAAAAATTTGTTTTCATATTTTAGAACAATCTACAATGGTAGAAAGATCCATATTTTGAGACAAATAACACTGATGTCAAGTAAAAACGGGCTGATGGTCTTGGAAATTTGCACATATGTTAAGTGTAATTGTAATGTATCATATTGCATTGTAAATGCAGTTACCAGAAGGGAGAATAGAGAGTGGATACAAACTCAATGGTGAAGTCACTGTACTGCAGAGACTCAAAGCAGAACAGAAGAATCAGATGTCTCCAGCAGCAGTTAGCAGATGCTTTCAAGAAGAATGTTGATTGTTTTGAGTGATTCCTTATTTATGCTTTGCATAACTTGCTTCATCAAACAAACTCTAATTCCTAACCCCACTACGATGTATTTAGAAGGATTTTGCCACTGTCAGCATCTCAGCTGTCTTCTACTGTCCCCACTCAGCCTCTGCCTTTCAGTCAGATTTCACTGTGTCCTTCTCCCCTTGTTTCTAGGCAAATTGATTGATTTTATAGGCAAAGTGATTGAATCTGTTCTCATATACCTGTCTCTTCTCTACCTTCAAATTCCATTTTAAGACCTCTGTCAAGCTTTATTTATGTTGGTGCAACACCTTTGGGCATAACTAAACCTGCTGCATGCAGGTAGATTTCTCACTTTACTTCATAACTCCACTTCTTGTAAACGGTCCTTCTCATGTCATATAATCTAATCCCACATTACCTCTATTGAGCACCTGATGTCGTCATTCTTATTTAGGATAAGTTGTACTGACTGTCAAGAGTATCCCACTGAAGAAAAAGGTAATAAACATCAGGGTTACGCCACTAAGTCTTGAAATAAAAAATTCTCCAGTGTGGAATTCTGACTTGAACTGTATACTAGCACTAATCTTTCTTTAAAGAAGCTGCCAAGTGGTGAAATCCATTAACCACGCAATATTTTGAACAGAGCAAATAGTTTGCTGTTGCTTGCGTAAGCATAACTCAGCAACTCCATTCCTGGTTTTCACACAGTAGAGGAAAGATGATAGTATCTTAACTACATATCCTGAACAGATCTAAGCATAAAAATAAAACAATTTCTTTACCAGGTCTCAAGAAATTTATCAGTGTCTGGCTTTGACTCCAACGTCAAACGCTTCTCCAGTTCAAAGCTGTGAATTGAACGTAACTTTCGCACCAGTGGGACATCTCTGTCTAGCTGGGTGGTCTCTGAGCGAACACGAATTGGAGAACCGAGACTCGGTGCATTAAGCATTCCATTCACTGGCCCATGGCTGTTTTCTTCCTCTGTGGCAGCCTGTGCAAAAAATAAAGTGTCACTCACAAGGAGCGGCAAAACAGAAGAAGATAAGGTACTACATGGTGAATACCATGCAGGTTTTCAGTCTGTGATAAGCCAATTTCTATTTGGAACAGTCCTTAAGTTCATGCCATAGTTAAGGTAGTTTAGGTATGCTCTTCAGCACACACCTACAACAGACAAAATACTAGTAATATCCTAGTTCTGGGTAGGTATGAGAACAAGAGTCTCAAAACCTCAGTAACACACTTAAATTTACTCTGATATTTCACACCCATCTCTGAAATTTTCCTTAATAATAGCCTGAAACCCAGCACTTGGCAGCATCTTCAGTCTGCTTTACAGTCAAGTACTGTTATTAAAGAGAAGTTAGCTTCCAAGCTGTCTTTATGATTCTCTGGAGCATATGACACTGTTATACACTACATCTACTAGATATTTCTGTAACTCAGAACTATGTTTTAGTCCAACCACATTCCATCTTGTATAATAATGACATGATTTAGAGATGGGAAATTATGATCATCCTTAGTTTCAACAGGTATAACTAATAGAAATAAACCAGAACAATCTCCTTTTCTCATTCCTTGGTAAAAGACAAACAAATAAGCATATTTGAAAATAGGCACCATGCCTTATTCTTTCCCACAATACATTTTTTTCCAGTAAACAAGAAGTAACAGCCTCAAAACTGGACAGCGCTCCTAGCTAAAGAACATTTCAGTACCAGATCCCTCTTCGTATTCAAAACATTTTGATATCAAGAAACAGGGCTACTTCCATCTGAGTATGAAATGTTGTCATTGTGAGCAAGGGGGACAGGAACCACTTCTCAGAGACTACTTTTCGAAATTAGGCAGCATTGTCTTCTACAGACTAGCCCATGAACCTCTTGGGATCGGTAGAATGCTATCATATCTTACGGAGACAAAAAACACCAAGTGAATTAAATGGATACTGCCAATCACACTGCCAATCTGTCAACTGAAAAATAACATTAAACCTGTTTTTGTATATTCAGTATCCAACTTCCACACATGCAAGATGCAGGAAATTTGTTTTGGTTTCATTCAGTAAGCAAGAATCAAACACATGTCTGAAGAACATGAATATGAATAAACTACAACGGGTCTCAAGTTATCAGCAATCTGCTATTCATGATAAAGACCTGATAAAGAAACACAAGGCCCAAAAAAGCTTTTATACTGGAACAAGCAGATAAATCACTCTAATAAAATGTGTTAACTCTACCATAAATTTTGTTTTCTTAGATCATTCTGGATAATCAATATTACTAAGACTGCATTATTAGTTATGTGCACTATGAGGACAGGAAACTGTTCAAAGATGGTCTTCAGAATGCAGATTTGCAAGTACCTTACAGATCCCTAGTTTTATTTTGTTTCTGTTTTCATCCATTTCTTCCCAAACATCTTTTTCCTGAGGACGATGATGCCCGGGGGATCCAGGTAGTTTCTCTGGTGACACACCAACTGGAATACCATTCTCTCCATCACTGAGCTGCTCATCAGGAAACACTTCATCTGTGTTTTCTCGCAGCAAATCTCCTGGGATAGGAGTGGCATTGGCAATTCTACAAAAGTAGTTTTAAAAAATTAAAAAAAAAAAATCAGAAAGGTAAAAGTCTTTGAGAAAAAACAAACAAAAAATTACAAGCAAAAGCCTGCTTCTGTAGAAAACTAAATCTTGTAAATTAATTAATACAAAAAAATCCTACTTCTTGGTTTTCACAATTTACGTTTCTTTAATTTAGGCACATAACAAAAGGTGTAAATCAAAAAACAATCACCTAAAAGTAGGGTTTTTTAATGTTTTCAAAGTAACTTCTGAGAAAATTTCTTAGAGATCATGTCCGGGCTCAACGTCACTCCTGACACTTCTACACATATTCTTCTATTCAAAAAAAGTTAATGGCAACTTTCACAATATAGTTTCCTTTTCCCCAGAATTTGGCAGAATAACAAAACATACTGCGTGAGGAAGAAAGATCACTCTGCAAACTAAATGCAATTTTAATCACTGTTCTTATCAAAGTGCTATTTTGGTCCAATTATTGATAATCAAAACATAAACCTAATGCTAATAAGACATTACATTTTAATTAAAGTTCTGTAGTCCTATCGACTTGGGCCTTAATAGGGCTAAGGCTTAGCTCAGTATCTAAAACTGAAGCAATGCTATTCCTAAAAAGTGATTGGTCAGAAGGTCAACTAAAAGTCATTCCTTTATAGTCACCAAAATTGTTAACTGCAGCCAAGACTACCAATAATGCCAGTGTGATGCTAGTGTGATAATGGGACTGAATGATATGCAAAGCCCTTGTCAACTTTAGTGTGTTCAATAGTGCACATTGTACACCTATGTAATATTAATACCAGTGAATGTCTTGCCTGACATTTATTTTAATACCTTTTTTTTTTTCCTAAATTACCTTGAAATACTGGGAATTTAATACATTTTTCATGAAATTCTGGCGTTTTTCAGCCTCACTACACTGTCAAAACTCCCAGGTCACAACCCTCGTGACTCTTAGATAAAAAGTTGATCTACTCAAAGTCTAGAACAGGCAACAGGTCTTCCTTCCTTCTCACCCATAAATACTTCGTATATTCTCCAATCCCGAGATGGGTATGGATATTATTAAACATCACATCACATCCAACTTACTTAATTGCAGAAGGTCTCAAAGACCACATTAAATATTATTTTAAACACGACTAAAATCTATTGCCAGATTTCCTATAAAGAGCTATACATTTTTCAAAGTTATAAGGAAATTGCAGCTAGTAGTTTATTCCAAGTTTATAGAAAACAATGGGTTTATATTCAGGCAGTTAAACTCAGGACGCATCATTTAGTTTCACAAAATATGGTTTAGCAAAGGATGGACTAGCAAATTTACATGCAATTTCCTGAGCTACTATTTTTAATTACTATAAATTTAGGACTGCAGTACTGATCTTTCAGGATAGTATAAACAGGAACCCTAAAAAGGGAAACACTTCAAATGCTCCCAAGCCTCCATTCCTCTATTTATTTAACATCCTGCAGAAAAATCCTGAATTATGGAGATAATTTCCCTTTGGTACTCTGTGGCTGCTGTTTAAGTGACCACAATGTGCATACATACCCAATTGCAGCCGGAGTAAGACGAGTGTGTAACTGAGGTGTGGTTGAAGTTGTTGTGGTTGTCAGAGAACCATCAGTTCCACTCTTCTCCCAGTCAAAAGGGTCACTTTCAATAACCCCAAACGTTTTCATGCTGTTGTCAAACACAGACATGAGAAGCTAAAAATTAAGAAAAAAGTTAATAAGCTTAATTTTTGCTAAGAGATCAAGCAATTAAGAAATATCCTCCTGCAATATTTTAACATGTCTCTTCTTTAAGATTTTGGCTGACAACAATTTTCCAAAAAAGGACGCAGTTCTTTATATGAACCATTTCTCATTTTCCAAGGTTTCAAAGTTAAGATATGCAAAATTCTGTGTTTTTATCAGTAAAGAGAGGCAAAGATACACCATAGGCTTCCATAAAAGACAGAAAGACACACACACACATACACACACAAGCATGACTACATTGCTGCAGAATAGCATCCAATGTCTCTCCAGCAGAGCAAGATAAAAGAATATATTCAGTAACACTGTTAGAAACCATGGAAATTAATAAGGAGTATGTAGGGAAGGATACTGATTTGCTTTCCATCCTCATTTTATGCTATAAAAAAGCATCTGGAACAATTTGTGTCCACAACAGAGAAAGAAATTGCATCTACTTTCCTTTCCCTGTGAAAAAACTTTGTCTCATTCTAGTCACTGGTGGGAAGGCTGTGTCCATGTCACATTATCTCTTACTCTGTAACATTTCTAAAATTAATCTTTTTTTTTTCCTAAAAGCTAAAACTCTAGTTTTCATTGTGTCTTCCAATCTAGGATGCTGAAAATTTTTCTCTGGCCTCCTCTAAAAACACATACCCTTTAGCAACTTAAAAAGGATGTGAAGTTTGGATCATTTTTCTTGTATGAAGTGGTGTATCCATCTTATCCTTACTCTGAAGAACCTTCGGTGTGCCATTTATCCCAGTCAGTTCTGAAATCCTACTGAAGTGCACAAAGCTATAGTTCACTCACTGTCCCATATGTACTCTCTTTTGTTCTCCTCCTCCTGTAAACCTTACGCAGTCTCTCTGCAGTCATTTTTAAGGTCATTCTCCTTTAAATCTTTTCTACAATTTCTGCTATAATGCAAACACAAACTCAAATGGTTAATGATGACAGGAGGCTGAGGCAATGTATGCATAAATATCTGAATAAAATAAACATATCTGACATTGCCAAATCAAATGTGGATTCTAGGCCTATGTCATGAACTTTTTAGACCGTAAACTCTTCAAAGCAGGAATCTTGACCATGTACATTCTTGTTCAGTGCCTAACCGTAAAAACGAACAAAGAATGATCCATATCGTAAGTATGAATAGCATTGCTGCAACAAACTAGTTAAGAGAGACCAAAGCTTAAATGACCATGGAAAGTAAAGCACTTTCCCACTGCCCTAAATAAAACCACCCTGCTCTGGTCTAAAAAACATGAGCAAGACTGTGTCAGAAGGCTGAGGCTGCAGCTACCCAACTGCAAATATTCCTTTACCAACCAGAGGACTGTAACTTACTGGGCTGTCTCTGTCATGAAGAAACTCTGTCCTGGTATCATGTTAATCCTCGAGTGCTTTGTTAGATACAAGTAGACCACAGAAAAAGGTTTTGCAAAAATGTGCCTGTGTATATGTTTTATTGTTCAGGATATATAATGTAAATAAAACATATTTACCAGTCTACAATCAAGGTTTTTCCATGCAACATCAAAATTTCTGCAATCAGTAATTTTTACCGTAGGGGGGAAAAAAAAAGTCATCTTTATAACGAGGCACACAAAACACTCAAAACTTTCTTAATAATTTTCCTTAATTGTAAATTATAGGATAAATTCCATGGAAATTTGTAATGGAAAAGGAAAAAAAAAAATCAACGTATTTATTTTTCAGGAATGCTGAACATTTTCTGTATTTGTAATAAGATTTTTTTTTTTACATTGAAATTTTTGCACAAAAAGTGATTTTTTTTTTTTGCAAATGTGCAGAAGAACATACCAGTACATTTAGAGAAATACAGTTACTAACAGGAAATGAATTATCCCTTGCAATTTTCCGTTCTTATTTTGAATCTTATATATCTTGATTTCTCTGTTAATCTTAGCAAGTAAAGCACAGGAATCATTCTTATCAAAGTTACAATTCTAGAATTAGTCAGAATTATTTATTTATTCAGTTGAACCAATTCAGTTTGCACACCAGCAGAAAACCATTCCTTCTGGTTTTGCTGAGTTAGGGAGTTGAACAACTGCACAGAGGCAGACAGGTAAGGCAAGTGGGAAGCTGACAGGAATGTGTGTTTCTGAGAGCCAGAGGGAAGGCACACAGGGACAACTTGTCATGGTGTGATGTTAAATCAGTTCAACTTCTCCCACAATTTGTGAAACTGAAAAAACTCTCAGTCTCTCCCTCTCTGCTTTTTCTGAGCATTCCTCTGCTGCTTTCCACAAACTGGTATAGAACAGAGTTCTGTCTTTGAGTTTTATTTATTGTTAAATCATGGGTCAACACTGAGTGAATAAGACACACACAGCATACCCTCTCAGCACCTATCACTTTATCTCCGAGCTGAGGCTGTCCATAACAGCGGGCAATACTCTCTTAAACAAAGCAAAATGACTAGTTTTCTGGTGATCTCTGTAGGCAAGACTTCAGCCCTAAAAACCCACCATGGCTGCATGTTGTGCTCTAGCTGTATATACCGCAGGTGCTGAGCTCCAGTTTTTGGAAAACTGCCAGAATGACTATCACTGAGAAAACAGTCTGATCAATTTAACTTAAGGCACACCCTCTAGAGGCCATGATAGTAGGATAGTGCCCAATCCTAACAAAATACTGACTGCAATGCAACTGTCAATTGTTTTTGGAAACTTAACGGCCTTACTCTTCCTAAATGGAAAAAAATGGCATCTTTGAACCGCAAAGTTTCCATGGCACTAGATGGTCATTAAAATAACTTTGTGGTGGCACAATCCATAATCGCTACCAAGATTATACAATGAAATCAAAGGAAATTGAAGATGAAATCCCATAAAATTCTGCTATTTAAAAATCAGAAGGACAAAATAGTAAAAATGATTACCTGGTAATCAGGCTTTGTAAAGTAATCTAAATTAGAAACGTGATCCAGAAAGATGTTGAATTCTTGAGGAAGATGTTTCAACATAAGTCTGTGCTCATATCTTTCTTTAATGGAGCCCACTTGCTCCTAGGAGTAAACAGAACAAACATTAACCTGCCTTCATTCTCTGCTACAACATACTCACTTCATATCTTACAGCCATTCAATACACTACTGGCCAGAAAGATGAATAAGTACGTTATACTGAATAGTACTGCGGAAGGTCATTCTGTATCAGAGAGCAAGATAAGAGATTCTGTCATTGCCCTCAGTACACATGCAAAATGATGTACAAACTTCAAATTCAATAGGAAAAGCCACTTAATTTTCTGCTGTGTTTGAATGCTCCCTGATATCAAGGACTGTCATTAGACACTCCAACCCCTCTAAAAATTATGGTTTTAATATTTAAATGTCCTGTTGCATCATCTGAAGTTCAGTCATTTTTTGGTGTATATTTGGTCATCACAGTATATTGTGTAAGATTAGTAAATCCTCTTTAGTGTAAGATGAGTAAATCAAAGCCAAAAAAGAGACACTACCCATACACCACAGTCATCTACCAATGCATAAACCACATCAAAGAGTAATTTTATTTCAATTTAATTTCAAAAGAATTTGAAAGAAGTAAAAATAGGCTAATTAGATGTTGTTTCTTCGCATACTTCACCTATGATATATGACTTAAGGCACTACAGCATATTGACTGAGTCACTTTTGTTCACTAGCAAATAAGAAACGCTCATTTAACAAATAATCAAAATAGATAAGAAATTCTAAATGTGTGATAGATTAAATAAAAAAAGTACTCAAGCAAAACCAGGAAAATTAAGTAAGTGGCACATATACACTTACTTTTGCTTTTTAAAACATCTGCAAACGAGATGCACAATCCAATTCCTGACTAGAACAGTTCGTAAAACTTGACTGCTTTTTATATCATCACACTAGCAATGAGAACTAACACTAGAAAACACTAGAAATGTAACATTAAAATTAATGAACAAGTGGTTCTTAGTGGAATTTTTATCACAGCATTCACTTGCAATCCAGAAGTAAATCTCCTTCGTGCTCTTTGGTTTCACTTCTAGGTTTACCTTATCTTTTATTTTTCTCCAAGGCAGTTGCCCAGCCACAAATTCCACCAACATGTAGAACAGGGACCAGAGGTCATCATGCCGGCCCATTTCCTGTGAAAAAGAAATATTATTTTAATGCATCTTACAAGTACCTATAAGACAAAAGGGAAGACAGAGTCTTTACTACACTGGAGACTTAAATTATTACATATAAAAAATTAATATAATCAACACTGCAAAACAAGTTCGTATGATTAAATCCAGCAACTATTTTAAGTACAAATATACAAGTAAATGTCCATAGAAGATAAAAAGAGACAAAAGAAAGGTTGAAGTGTGTTAAAATAACTGCAAATTTCTATACTGGAAGAGCTGTTTATTCAGATTTCTTTAGTTTATGATGTTAAGATGACATACTGGACATTATGTATTTTATAAAATGTAACTTCACCTTCTTAATTTATTAACTTACAATACAATTGAACAGCAAAGGTAACTATTAAAACCACTATTATTTCTACAAGAACTTTTTTACCCACGACTACTGTAAAGTATATTATCTTTTCCCAAAATTTGTAAGTATTAATTTCTACATAATAAATACACACATAAAAATACAAAAAAGGAAATCAATAACAACTGCATTACTGACTGCTTTCAGCTACATGAGATAGATATGATATAGATTGCGATACTCACTCTGTTTCTATGAGCATTGATTGATGCATATCGTACTGTTCCTCGAAAACCAGCGACAGCTCGTGGCTGTCAAAGAATAGAAAAAGATATTCATTGTCAGAAACAAACCCTCTGACTACTTATCTTGGCATCTACAAAGTGAGTATGGAACCACAACAAATATAATTTGAGACTTTTTGTTTTATTCCAATTTACTGTGTTTCTACAAGTTCTCAGTGGAAAACCAAGCAGGCACCACAAAATGACATATGTCATAGTTCTCTAAACCATCTATTTATGTCAGGTTTTGTTCTCCACATGCATCAATTCCTGTTTACCTCGTTCCTCAAAAAAGCTACATGGCAGAGCTCTTCCTCTTTTTCCTCCAATAATGGAATAATTTCTTGGTTTCAATTATTAGAAGTTTTCAGGTTTTGTTCTCCACATGCATCAATTCCTGTTTACCTCGTCCCTCAAAAAAGCTACATGGCAGTGCTATTCCTCTTTTTCCTCCAATAATGGAATTATTTCTTGGTTTCAATTATTAGAAGTTTGAGTTTTTAAATTCTGTCAGGATCTAAACCATAATGATTTCTTCCACTTTGCTAAAATACACCAATATTATGTAGTATAACAGACAATCAGCCATTTATTGAATAGTGCAACATTTTCACAAATTATTTTCTTAACTAGTAAACCAATCAATTTTTTGAGAAATTCCAAAAGCAGAGAAAGCCACAGGCAAGTCTCAAACCTGTGGCTGAGCAATAAATACCAAGGGCTGCACTGCAGGCATTAATTAAAAACATTTCTTTCTCTTCTAGTTTCTGAATACCGGCATTTCCTCCTTGACACTCTAGATACTGTATGATCATAAGTCAATTGGTGTTTTATAATCATAGAATATATTTTCCCATCCTTCTTTCCTTCAAATAAAATGTTACAAAAAGATTTATATAACTGATAAGTCATAATTAGTACATATTTACAATTTTTTTTTTTAAAAAAAAATCAAACCGTGGTGTTATGACTTTGCCTAAGACAGATATCCAATCCATGCTACCCCCTTAATTAATCATTCTGTATAGACAGAACTGCCAGAACTGCTAAATTTGCTTTCTTTTACAGAGTCTTATTTTCCCAATCAATAATGCTTCTTGTTTCCTCTAACAGTGAATGTGAGAAACTTGAATTATCTTCATCACCTCTGACTTGTACTTAAAGGGGTACTGGTGATCTGTCTGCCTGCCCTAGACTCATGACAATTCTTAAGATTTTAAAAAATTTTGCACAATACATGGAAAAGTCTGGTTTGATATACAGAGAAAGATAACCACAATACAAAATTATTACCCTATTAAGATAAAACACTCCAGTCTCTTCCCACCTATATATATATATATAGATATAATTTCCTCTTATCCACCAAGAGAAGCTACACTGAGAGCTATCATTTAAGTACGTCAGGAGCTGCCATTACTGGCAGTAACCCCATCAATTAAATCCATCAGGATCATGCAGCAACGTCTTTAAAAAGGATTCAACAGCCCATATAATCAATGTTTGCCAGAGTGGTACGATGAGAGCTGAACCAGTGTTAGTTAAGGTGGAAAATATTTCTTAGGATGTTCTTAACATGAACAGGTTCTCAGACGATATTCCATAAGTCTTAGGCTTTGCACGTTATCATAAAGTTTAAATGGTGCTTGGAACACATTTTGTGTTCAGGCAGGACAGAGTGAATTACTATCTTATATCTTGTAAATATATCATATTCCATACTTAACATTACCCTTAAATGAAGCATAACACGGTAGCTGCAGAAATTTCACAGTAACATGTAATTACAAAAAGAATAGCTCAAAATGCTTTGGAACTGCTGAATTTCAGGAGAAACTAAATTTTTCAAAAAAAAGACTTAAGTCATCTTCTTAGTAGTTCTGAAGATTGGCAACCCATCCAACTAAGAATAATATAGCATCGCTGCCAAGACAATCAAAACACAGGTAAATTTCCAAAAAGATGCAGTTTGATGAATAGCACTTCTTCAGAAGGACACAGAGAGCTTAATTTAAAACACATGGAAATAAAAATTCAGTAAATCCCAAGAGCATAAAGTTTCAGAAGATGAAACCCAATGCTTACTGTCTTCAGCCTCTGGTCTGAATGTTTAAAAAGGAAGGACTATAATCAGTTTTACTAAGTTAAATATTTCCATTCTTCTGAGACTAATGAAAAAACGTGAAAACTAGGATGAAATGAAGCTTATATTCCTAGGGTAACAACTTCAATTGCTACTTGATAACTATCACAAAAACATTACAGTTGCTTGACAAGGAAATAAAGAAAGAGTAAGAAATGGCATATGGAATCTAAATTATCCCATCCAGTTTACAAAAACTAACAATCTGATCTATTCCAGTTCTGTCCTGAGGGAGGAAAGTCTGTATGAGGAATTTCATTGCGTACCAACTGAACTGCTTTTGAATGTTAAACTCACTGCCATCCTTAGACATTCCTATGAAATTATTTGCCCTAAGATGATTTCAATTATCTGAGAATCACCTGGCTGAGGGGGAAAAAAAAGCAAGCATTAGTATTTTTTCTATATATTAACTTATCATGAAATTAATTCTGAATTCTTTACCCCAGCCAGGATATCTAAATCCTTTTATAATCTCTTGCTTTAAAGTGTAGCTTGTATAAATCTGAATTAAGAGCATATGTAACTCTACTACATTTTAAGACACAATGAAATACCTTCTAGTAATGCAGCTGGTCACTAATAGTGGTATTACAATGTCACACAATAACAATAAATTAATTCTATTGTGTCACTAACAACATGAATCATGCCTCTAGTAGCTCAAATCAAGTTTGCCCAATTCAGAATAGAATTTATAGACTTCTGAGCATTTGCAAAACTTCTGAAACTGTTTCAGAGCTCTTTATGCATCTCACAAGGGCTCATGTAGTATTATAGGCAATAATAGCAACTTCCTGAATCGTTCACCGCATTTTTACAAATAAAATCCCCCTCTTCTATTACTGATCATGTTAATTTGTTTTTAGACACCTCCAAATTTTTCCTGAGCTCATCTGCCACCAATTTGGTGGGCAAGGGGGGAGCCTTTCAAAAACATTGTTTATAGTATTGTCTTCCAGATGCCTAATCTAAGAAAGCTGCTACCATAGCAATTGAGCTTCCTTAAACCAAAGAGATTTCCTAGTTGAGAAAAAAACTTAATAGTTCCAGTTTTTCAGTCATTACACATGACCTATTAAGACAACAAACAGAATCTATGGTATTTTTGGAGCATATAGCTGTAAAGGGCATTTGTATTAGAGATGGTGAATCCTACATTTGAATACATCTGTGAATTCCACTGACACTCTTGATTAAAAATGGATTACATCTATGTTCCTTTCCATGACAAATGCCACAATCAACATTCTCCTGTTTTTTCATTTGAAATTTAGTGGGTTTTTTTGTATCAGTCATAGACTGGGGGCACCGCCACATCCAGGTGCTGTCTCAGTTGCAGGGATCCATTAACAGCCCACTCAACAGGGGATTCCATTCTTCAGCTCTTCCATATTTAACAGCTTTATTTAGCTTGCATTCATTTCTATTTATTTATGGCAACTATTGTTATCATATTTTTCCTTCAGATAGAGTAAGAAAGCTTTTCAAATAGACAACTCTCAAATTGGCACAGGAACAAATGGGAAATTAGGTGAGAGTTCTTAGATCCTGGAGTCATACTTTCTGCAGGAAAAAGAATTGCTACAAAACTTTGCCTTAAATCCCAGGTAAATTAGTGGTAATGGCCATATAGATGACATGATTTAGTTCCTTTATTAGAATAAGGGATGCAATTTCTAAGAAGGGTAGAGTTCTTCCATACTTACATTTGACACAAAAGATACTTTGCAAATCTTCTACAAAACTGTAACTTGTTTCGATCAGTTTACATTAGAAAGCTTTTTTCCAATATAATTAGCTCAAGCTAATCTGGAAGTCAGAGTTGTCTCAGATTTGATTACTATCACTAAATTCTTCAAATATAAGTTAATTGTTTTGAAGATACATGCATATGAAGCAGATCCAATGACTATGAAGAATTTTTCTACACATAAAGGTACATTTTAATGTAACATCAGTTTTCTTTGGAGGTGGCCCTGCCCTGGAAACACATGACAATGTCTCAGATAAACTACATGCAGGAAATTAGAAGTTCCTAGAAAAGCGAACTATTTCCTCAAAGCACACAGGTTTGCAAATTCCTTGGAGACACTATGCTTACAAACCTGTCTACAACCGTTTCTTCTTCGGATGGGCTGTGGAGGAGGCAAATCACGCTCCTTAGCTCAGTTCAGTATCTCTCGATAAATGCTCTGGGTTTATTGCTCTGGGCAATGTTGGAAAAGTTACGCAGAGCAAAAAGTTAGCTTTTTACTGAAGTCATGGAAACTAGATCATAAACATGAAAAAAAAAAACCCAACACAATAATGATTCTTTACATTATATCGGACACACACCATGGGTCTTCCCTATCAGTCAGGCAATGACTGAGAATCCTTAAGCGTCCCTAAGTTTTGGCTTGACAAACCAGCTCAAGCAGTGAACCTCACCTTCTCACAGTACTGAATTCTAAAGCACATAGTGAGGTGGGTAGAGCAGCAACCACCTACATTACCTCTATTTCCCTTTCTTAAAGGCAGAATGTTCCTTTCTTATCTTTTTTCCTTTAAAAAGTCAATTTCCTAGTTCTCTTATCCAACAGGAAATATATTTCCAGGATTAGAACTATACACAGTTCCAATTCTTTGGAATCTTTTTTCATACCAAATGGCTTCAACAATTCACATTCCCATCTCCCCCTTTTCTGTGGACAGAGGCTTTGCAATCTAATTTAATGCCCAGCATGTGTTAGTACCGGTTTAAGGTAAATGAAAAATTCAGGGATTATCTAGGAAAGGAAAGATCAAGCAGTTGAAATGCAATTGCCATTACAATATATTATACATCTCAATTAGTTTTCACTGTATAATCAGCTCTTCAAACCCATACTTTTAGCTCTAT